GAAGAGTTCACGATATGTTACTAAGGTTTTATTTGATATTAACGAAACACAAAACGTCTTCCTTTCTTCAGGGTTTTTGTTTTCAAGTAGAAAGATGTAAAGTGTGATAATAGTATGTTCGTAGTTTTTTAATACGAACAAGAATCAGAAAAGAAACTGCCTGGGCATATAATACCAAATTATACGAAACATTCTTAAAAGCGTGAGCAATGTATTAATTTGTAACAAATACAATGTAAACTGATTGTAAAAAACGACACAGAAACGGCTATGAAATTTTTGACCTGCTCCTACTCATGTCATTTTTAACAGATGAACAGATGCCAATCATCCAAATGTTGAAAAGATCCTTTAACTTGTATTGTTTCACGTATAGGTCAAACGGGCTACTATGTCCCCAGAAAACAGATTGCGTACTTATATGTGCAAACAAAAAAAGTAAGTCTGCGACGCTTTTTCAAATTCGGCCAAGTTATTAAATGTATAAACTGAAGATGTCCTGTGAAAAATTCTTGTCGTGTTTTCATTTATTATATAATTGTCATTCAAAACGGCATGTTCAGAAGTTAATGAATCAAGATCACAAACATTTTATAAATGTTTGCACAAATTTAAAATTGAAAAAAAAATCTCATCTGTACAAAAGTTGAACGCATGCGACATGACCGCAAACATTTTGCGTGCTTGGATCAAGTGTGAAGGACATTTTTCATCACTGCACATTCCATACACATAATTATAATATACTTTCAAAACCAAAGTCATAAACATTACATTACATAACTTATGTAATCTTATAAATTGTAATAGGGTCTTAGCCGAGATTTTACTATAGACGATGCCACTGGGAAACCCCTAAAAGCAAAAACGGTGTTCAGTTTGTCTATACGTTATCTCAAGGATGACCTTATGGATATGTGTAAAAGACAGCTGATGGATCAACATTTGGAAGAGAAAGATATTCACTGGGTGCTGACAGTACCTGCAATTTGGAATGATGTTGCAAAGCAATTTATGAGAGAAGCCGCCGAAACTGTTAGTTTTTAGTTTATATGCAATAGAAACATAAATGTACTTACATTTAGGTACATCTTGATATATATTAAAGCTTTGAAAAATGAAAATCTCCCGAAAGCAATTAAACAATAGCAAGTCATTAAAAGCAATTTTGTTTTGGGTTTTACGTCACACCGACACAGCATAGGTCATTTGGCGACGTTCCAGCTTTACAGGTGGAAGAAGACCTCAGGGAAGACCTCAGGTGCCCCTCCTTGCATTATTTCAGGCACGAACGGGCACCTGAGTAGAACCAGCGACGTTCCGTAAGCTAGCTGGATAGCTTCCTCACATGAAAGAATTCAAAGTCCCTGTTGGGATTGAGGCGTTGAGGAGCAAGTGGTTTGAAGTCAACGACCTTAACCACTCGGCCACTGACGCCCCATTTAAAGAAGCAATAAACACTTACTTAAAGAAATTAGGTGCTACCATTCCCTATAGAAATTCATGCATTTTTATAACTATAATTAAGTTTTATGTCATATATATATTTTTAAGTCGTTAAGAATATAATATATTATTATAACAAGCATTGTAAATTTGCGTGAAAATATTCAGACAATTACATGACTTTCCTTGCTTGTTATTTTAAAAATGTTTTCCCAAATCGGCTACATTTTTTTATATAGTCGTTTAAATTTGAACTTACCAAATACTAAAATTGTCAAAATATTTATTTATTTTTTCCTAAAATAGGCGGGATTAAAAACGGAAAATGTAACAATTGCCTTAGAACCGGAGTCTGCGTCTTTATTTTGTCAACATATCCCGGCCAATAAATCTCTAAATTCACTTGGAAAACTTACAGCTGGAAGCAAATACCTCATTCTGGACGCCGGAGGTACAAAGTTTTATTGTTTTAAAATATCTAATCATCATAAAGAATCATATACATGCATGTGCACGCATGTATAATTCGCTTAACAGTGGGGGTCTTTTTGCATTTCTAAAAGTTGGCATTTCTTTATTTATCAAAATATTCTTTAAAAGTGAGTACTTATAATAAGCCCCCTCACAATATAGTCCTTATAGACGGAAAAACATTAAATAGTAAAACATATTTAATAAAAGCGAATAAAACACATTATCATTTTACTGTTAGGTGGAACAGTTGATATCACGGCACATCAGATTATGTCAGACGGAATCCTAAAAGAAATTCACCAAGCCACTGGCGGTGACTGGGGAGGGACAAAAGTTGATCTAGCATTTGAACACTTCCTATGTGAAATAACAGGTATGAAGATATTCGTTAAACCGTTGTAATGAAAACATACAGTTTAAAGTTACGATTACTTCTGTAATAAATCGAAGTTGAATCAAAATAGATATATTCTCGAGAATAAATTTGGCATTTACTCGTATGTAAATTTATAAACACTCAAAATGTGATATAACACAAAATACTCGCTCGATACGATTTCATCAGCACTGTATCAAATTAAAGTTTATATATATACAAGGTTAATATGTTCTACTTTAATATACTCTCTAGGTGAGGGCGTCATGGATTCCTTCAAAAATAAAGCAATGGAAGATTACCTTGATCTTATGAGATGTTTTGAGGTTAAGAAGAGAGAGATAAAAGCAACAAGTGACAGACAGGTATCTTTGAAGATACCTGTAGCTTTGATTGACCAGACTAAAGATCTCACCGACATAACAGTCCGGGAAAAGATTCAATGTACAAAATATAAAAACCATGTAGAGCTTGCAGGTGACAAAATAAGACTTGATCCTGATATTATGAAAGGCTTCTTCACAGAATCATTGGAAAGTATTGTCAGCCATTTGGAGGATCTCTTTCGTTTACCGCAGCTGCAAGAATGCCAAACAATACTTATGGTAGGTGGTTATTCCGAGTCGTCCATTCTTCAGGAAAGAATAAGAGCTTGTTTTCGAGAGAAGAATGTGATAATACCAGCTGATGCAGGACTTGCTGTTCTAAAGGGAGCGGTAATTTTTGGTCACAACCCATCTCTGATTGCGGAAAGAATATGCAAGTTTACGTACGGAACTAGGGCTTCACATGAAATGAAAAATTCATGCACCCATCGTAAAACAAAAACTTTTTTTGCAGAAGGTAAAGAATTTTGCGAAGATATATTTGACGTTCATGTCCGTGCTGGAGATGTTGTCAAAGTAGGTGAATGGCAAGAAGAAAAATTATATTTTCCGATTTATCCAACACAGACGTCTGTAACATTTATAATTTATTGTACGAAAGATCGCTCGCCTGACCTAGTGACTGATTCAGGCTGTGTACTATTGGGTGAGGTTGAGTTGCCTATGCCTGATACAACAGGTGGTGTCGATCGTAAAGCGTCTGCAAGTTTTCGATTCGGTGGTACGGAGTTAGAGGTGCAAGTTTATGATAAATCGGCAGGGACGGAAAGAAATATATCGCTGTCATTTTTAGGTTGATAATTGTGTTGAATTCATGTTACATTTCAACACTGGAACACTACATTTTAATATTTTCACACAAAGTCATTGTAGTTTGGGCGTTTTTGAAATAAAATGTCATCAAAGCAGACTCGTTCTTTTATATGAAAATAGATCATTAATACATGTCTTATTCGACAAAAAACATCCAATATACGTATGAGCAATGTTAATCCTGCTGTGATTTTAAACCGTTGCAACGTTTTATTTTGTTTTATGTGGGAGAAAAGTTTTAACATTTGTTAATGTTCTATATATATGGGATATTTTATAATATAATATTTCAAGTGTTTGTTTTTTCCGGACAGATCTATGCAATAATAATAAATAATATGTGACTTTAATCAGATAACGAAGATGAATGAAGTAAAGAATATGTCAAATTATTATTAGGTAATTATACATTTTACTGTACAATACGGGAATATATTTGGACGAGTGCTCAGATTTAAAGGTCATATTGCACGAGCCGATAGCGAGTCCAATATGACTTTCCAAGCTGTGTACGAGTCCAAATATATTCCGTATCGTACATTCAAATTTATAATAAACTTTTTGTTATATATCTTTCGTTTAATTTTAAATATCATCATCATCATCATCACACCAACAAATCATCCACTCCACGACCAATAACAAAACCACTATCATTAACATCATCAATGTAACCAATAAAACTACCACCACATCCACTATCATAGACCCATATCAAAAAAGTTCTAGAAAAAAAGGTTATAATTCATGAATGGTTTTGTTTTGTACATACATAAGTTTTAGGATTTGACTGATACAATGAATACTTTTTAGACGTTATTTATTTATTTATTTATTTATTTATTTATTGACCATTTTCTGTGAGTTAAAAAAATGACAGTTAACATTGTCTTCTATACATTGTTACAACTTACATTATAATAATTGTTTAATAAGTATCATAATTATATAATAGTAAATCCGAAAAATATCAAATTGACACCCCTTATCTCAATTATCACATTGACAATACAACAGAAACATATTATAAAACAGTAAATCAGGAAAGAAATATCACCAGCTGTTGTAAACATATAATAACTACCGTCTTTATGCAAACATGGTTCCCGGTCTTAATTTTGTTAGAGATTGAAATCGGAAACCAGACCAGCATCTTTTTGTGCACATGTACCCAACCGTTTAATATGAAAATAATATAAATTTTTTATCCAATACGGAAAAATTTTGGACGGTCACGAGATCGTTTACCTGAGAAAATTGTAATATGTGGTTGAAGCTACTAACAGTTTTAATAAAGCGTGATGTTGTTCTCTATAATAAAACATTTGTTACAAGTTACCTAGCTTTTTAGCCTTGACATTTCCGTATTTTAAAATAATGTCAAAGGATCACCTGCGGTATTTGATTCATATCTTCCTGTAGATAACAACAATCCGTATGATAAATGGAATCACCATGAATGTTTCGCAAATATAGCTTTTGAAATTGAATGAAACGGTTTGTTTTTGTCAACATTATCTCTTTTGTGGGTACGTGAAAAATATAGCTTGTGATCTGAACTTTGGTTCGTTTTTTCTGTTTTATTATTATTATTTTTTATCTGTTTGTTTGTTTGTTTGTTTATTGATTGTTTTCAGTAACTTGTGCTCGCTTATTCATCATGTAGTAATGTATTTGAAGCAACTAGAAACTGAAAACATGAAATTTTGAAACCATAATTCTAATTTATTTCTTAAAAGACATTCGTATACCTCTTGTGTCCTCAATTTTTTTGCTTTTCACACTTATTACCATAGACATCTGTAGATGTAGTAAACATGTTATACCATACTAAGGATGGTAAACTTTCTACAAAAACGTAAAACATGATAAAGGAACGTAACGTATAGTATAATGTTTTACACAGGAAAAGCAAACTGATTTTCAAGGCAGTGTTAACAAGCTTTGTAAGGTGTAAAACTCAAGAACTGACCCACTGCCCCAAATGAAGCTGATTGTCATATGTCATATGTTCTAATTGAGGGATCTCCAATTTCAAGGGTTTCAAAAAGCTATAGTACGACGTTTTGTGTCCCACTCGCGTTTGTAACACGTGTTTTTGACTAAATAGAACTTGTTATGAGGTTTGTGATGACTTTACATGCTTAAAATACCTTTTCTCCTTCATTGAACCTGATAAAAGTGACTAAACATATATCGAATTTTGTATTTACCTTACTTTCAAAAATGTTTTGCATTAGATCTATTATTGGAAAGAAAGTCTTTTCTTAGAAATCGTGATAAATAAAAAGGGAATTATTACAAACAAGAGTAATTCAGCAAATTTCACAATGTAAATATATATCATCATTTAAATCTGGGAATTTCAAAACAGTTATAAAACTGTCTGCTTCAATCTTGTAACTTTAAAAAAAGCGATTCCAGTACGCACTTAAAAGATAGTAAGTCAAATTTAGTAAGCCCGCTTGCCAGGTCAAATGGTCACTCTTCCTATCTAATGATGATGAATAGAATACTGAAAATATAAATATTAAATATGATAAAAACTTAAATTCTACTTTTACCTTGAAAGTTCCCATATTTCTTACAATCTGTTATGTAAAAATTCGCTCGTTTCCATTTTGCTACGTAACAGCCATCTTTGACGTTATTTCTATGGCTATTTATTAGACAGTAACTGCTATATATACTTGGCGATTCAAATTGATAAAGAATACTTTTAAATAGTGGTTCAAAGTAAGACATGTCCAAAGGATTTCGGGAACGAAGTATTTACTGTTCAAAATAAAAATCATCAGTTATCCGTTTCGTAGCTTTTGTAAAACAATAGAACATATCTTTCGAGAATGTATCTACAGAAATAAATTAATGGACAACATTTGGATAGATAAATTAAGAAAAAAACATGCACAGTTTAAATAAAGGAACTTTGTTGTTTGCATAGTTGTTAATCCCCAGTCACATTAGAGTTTAAGACAAGTTGACAATCACCAGTGACCACTGGTCGCGGACAATCTTTAAAACGTCTTACGACGGTCATCGGTGATCTTCGATAGTCGCAGATTATCTTATTTAGGTCCCACGACCAATTTCAGTCGTAGACAGGTTTTTGAGGTTGCACAAAAACCTCTCTGCGATCAAACAGGTTGCTAGTGATCTTATAAGGTCTTAGGCTGTCGCACTTTCTAGCGACGATCGTGCGACAATCTTACGACAGTCTTTACAAATTGCCACTAGTCACTGATAATCTTAAGTAGTCTTTAGTAATCGTGTGATGTTCGTACGACAAGTTGTAGGTGATCGCATGACAGGTCACGGGTAGTCGAAAGTAATTCTATGCAATCTTGAAACCATCGTACGTTTGCTGATGCCCTGTCGTGCGATTGTCAATGATGATTGGTCGAACTATAATCGCAGAAGTGAATTTATCTGTTCAAAGAGGGCTTGGTCGCAGACAATCGCCGATGATTGTCGGTTTTACACGTCGCCGGTAGTCGCAAGTAATCGTAAGCTCTAGTGTGACTGGCGTTTAAGGGAAAAATACAATATATTAAATAATTTTTTTCAAAATACATATTCCTATACGCATGACTCTTAAAACAATGATTTCTTTAGCTGAAACAATGGATAATATTTCATTTGTTCTAAACGTTAATGAATCAAAGCTAATCAAATATGGATATATTAACCGGTTAAAGAAAGACTGGAACACTGTTTCAATATATTTAATTCGGTACTACAGTTTCTTATCCAAATATTTTTTCCATCAATCAATTATGTGATTCAACCATATACTTTGGAGTATTCCTTTTGTATCGGCCTTCAAATGTCATTTTGTTCATCAAACTAGTGGTCTGCTTAAGTAATTTAAGATTTACCCAAACCAGAAGTGCGCATGTGAGCGTGTGCGCGCGAGTTTGTATTTGTGTTTATTTGATGTTTTCTTTTGTATATAAGCATCTATTCATCCTATATCCGCTCTTATTCTTTATTTTGAATTGACTTGTTTGCCGTTATATTATAACTTTATGTTGTTTGTCATCGCTTTGACATGCAGCCACAACTTTACGCATAGTCTTAAACAAATACACAAAAAAAACAGATCGAATAGTGCTAAGTTTAAACAACTGATGCACACATATTTACTTACGCTTTTATACAGAAAAATAATACATGATTTTATATAACAATGCAAATGTATTATTTCATAAGTCGACAATAAATTCGAAATATTTTTTGATATGTTTATTTTCAAAGCTAAATGTGTCCAATAAAATCGCAAGTGATGGTAACCTTTTCCATATCTAGCTAAACACCTAAATATTGTGTAATGAAAATATCGAAATTTTAAAAAACCAAATGTACTTTATTTTTAAGCATTAGATAGATTCGAAGCAAATACACAATGGATAAACGAGTTTTTGTAGTCGCAAGTAGCACGTGCTTATAATCGGTAAAAATAGTACACATTTCATTGTTTCAACTCGCAAGACAAAGTACACTGATTTCGTTCATTCAAAGTCAAAGGGCCAAAAACTCTCTTCAGTAGCTACGGATTTCCAAATTTATCCCCAAAATGAAACTTTCACTTCACGTACTGTTCCTTCCCTTGGGTCCTTCACTTTGACTTCTATTTCTGTTTCGCCGAACAGAAAATTCAAATCAACGCTTCGAGAACATCCACCAGTTGTGTCAAGCATTGGTATTGTAACGCTTCCCAATTTCACACAACCTGGATCCGTAACTAGCTCAGGATTTTTCTCTTCTGTACAGTATATACCAAACGTTATACTCTTCTGTAATGGTTCGAGCGGATAAAATTGTTGTGTTTTGCATTCTGTTCCTAGCTTAATGACATCCCCAGCTCGAACATGCACGTAGAATATATCATTACAGCGCTCAATACCATTTTCGAACGATTTATTGGTAGGCAGATGTTTGCAATTTGTAGTGTAGTCATGACTGCCATTATTCCCATATGTATACTTACAAACTCTTTGTGAAATCACAGTTGGATCGTGACCATATATCACGGCTCCTTTTAAAACAGCGAGCCCGGTATCTGATGGTATAACGATTTTCATGTTTGAAAATAGTTCCTTTATATTTGCTGAAGTAAAAGCGACTCCGAATACCCACCTACCATTAACAATGTTTTACAGTCTTTCAACTCCGGTTTATCAAGTAGGTTAGTTAAATGATTTGTTATATTTCTCAGAGATTCTTGGAAGGAACCATTCATAACATCTGAAGGAAGTTTTAGTTTGTCTCCAGTTAACCGTATACTATTCTTGTACTTGGACTCGGCTATTACAGTTTGAACCGATGTACCTCTAATTGCCTTTACGGCATCAATCAGAGAAACGGGTATCCTTATGGTCACTTGTGTGTCTGGTTTGGCTTCTCTCTTCTTGATCTCAAAGCTTCTCATCAGATCCAGATACTCTTCTACGGTATCATCTTTAAACGTGTCCATAACATCTGTCCCTGTTTCGTTTGAGTATGAAAACAAAATGTTTATTAGCCAGATATATAAAGGTATTATAAGTATCAATCAAAGTATTATCTTGTTTGAGTGATATAGAAGATAGAATATTGTAAACATCAGAACAGGCAGAAATTTCATTAGTATATATACCCGTTACAAAGTATTTGTTATGGATATAACATAGAAACGAATAACTACCTTTATCCAATTTTGTGCATGAAGGTAGCTTTTATGATAAACAATTTCATGTCAAGTACAACTTAATGTCTCATAATTTTAATGTGTTAACACATTGAATAATTTCGTCTGTTGGGATAGGAGGCCATTTATGAAATAATGTAAATGAATCACTACCCATGACTTCAGAGATAAACTCTTCAAAAGCTTTGTCAACCATGGTGCCACCCCAATCTCCTCCGCTAGCCTTGTATATTTCCTTGAGCTCATTAAATTGTGTTGTTTCATGCACTGTTATGTCAACTGTTCCTCCTTTAAAAGTATCGTAAAATAATAGCTCGTACTGTTCCTTTTTTACGTATATGATATATGACTCATAGCAGTTCAGATATTAACAAGTTTATTAAATACATGTACACATGAAACACTGAAAAATTATCAAATTTTATATGGTTATAAATATATTAGCATCTGAAAATATGCAGTAATGCTAGTTCTACGGAATTAACTGTAATGCTTAGCGGTAAAATACGTTTTAATTGCATGAACTTAAATGTCTTATATAGATATAACATAATTTTAGTACATATTTAATAGAAGTTCATCTTCTTATAAAAAAGAACGGTTATGTACCTCCAGCATCTAGTATCATATATTTACTCCCGCTTTCTAATTTCCCGAGGGAGCCCTGAGTTCTTGAAGTTGGAAGTAAGTGACAATAAATAGATGCAGCTTCCGGTTCCAGGGCAATGGTGAGACACTTGTCCTTTATTCCAGCCTTGAAACGTTACAAACACACTGGTTAATATAATAACCTTCATTTAAAAATGTATTCATTGCATTTTTGAAATGTACAACATTACAAGGACATGTCATGGACAGTTATTTGCATTTATTACAGCCTTTCATGAACAGAATGAACCAAATCAAGCAAGCATTAATTTTCAATTCGCCTTTATGGTTTCCATAAAATCGTTTTGCCGATCGGTTTTTTATATATGTTATCTAAATAGTATACACACTTTAATATAATAATACAACAAAAGAAATCTTACATCTACTGCAGCTTCTCGCATAAATTGTTTGGCTACATCGCTCCATATTGCGGGAACTGTTAAAACCCATTTTACGTCGTCCTCTGTCAAATTTTCATCCAGAACCTGTTTCTTTGACATGCCCATAAGATCATCTATAAGGTATCTTATGGATAATGTAAACACTGTCTTCGCCATCAGAGATTTACCTATTGCATCTTCAATCGTAAAATCCTTCTGGATACCCTGTAAAGAATAATAAATTTGTAAAATATTAAGCATTATCAAACAAATCCTACAATATTTTCAATTTTACCGTTTTGGGTTTTCTTCAGCATTCGTATTTTTTCTATTTCATAAAAAAGTTGCATATATATAGATTCAGTAATATTGCCTTAATTTGATCATTTTGTGGAGTAGAATCGGAAAACCTAAGCATACATTTCCCCTACGCTCCATTCGCAGCTGAGAATACACCCCGTTGCTTCACAGTAAGTAAGTGAGCGAAAGTGAAACATTCGACCGATGTGCAGAAAGGTAACATTTCCCCCCACCGCGCTAAAGAATGAATTTATTAGTACGTACTAGTATGTGCATTGGGGAACGAAAATGTTCTGAGAATTAATTCTGTTAATATGAGATATCTACTAGTAAGTATATAAGTAAGCTAAATTATCTATTAAAATTTCAACATATTGCAACCGTAAAGGAAAACTCAGTACCAAAATAAGTCTTCAATACTGAAGACACGTGTCGTAATTAAAGACAAATGACCATTTTCTTTCGGTTCAAACACCACAGCATATCTTCTTTTTACAAAATAAATGTAAGCCTATTGTATGACATATAGACGTGAAAGTATATATAAAGTATGTGTAAAGTTCCCCTGTACTTCGCTTCAATGTTGTTTTATATTTCTGGTCATTCGGTTCGCTGTTAAGTGTTGAAAATTTGGTACCGCTCAAATCGGTGCTAGAGGGCATGGGGATGTTGCAATTTTTCATAATCTCTCATGTTTAAACTCAATCAAACCGAGTCTGCAATTTATATACAATTAGTTGTAATAAATTATTTCGGAGAATCACCCTTTCTCCGGATTCTGCATAATGCTGTTTAAAAACACTTCAAAGGCTTTAAAGAAATAGGAAATTGCTATTGCTTAAACAGTTTGTTAAGGACGTTTACTAGCCCTTATAGTTTTATTTCATCTTCGTTCGAATAAAAATGCAAATGTTATAAATATCTATTTAACTTACAATTTTGTCATACAGCTGCATTTTAAATCTCTTGAAGAAATACCATTCTTTATGCTGCTGCTCCTCTGCAAGTTCAGCATACTTGGTTTCAGCATCAAAACCAAAGCTATCAATTGTTTGGCCATCAGGATTGATGAGAATCGTTGTGGGTCCTTTAATCAAATTTCATATTTTCTATTATGTGTAAAATCAATTGAAGACTTGTATACATGTAATAGCTTAAACTGCAGACATGTATGTTTAATCATAGTCATTAATAATGCCCCATTTAGAAAAAAATATTTACAAGTACAGTTAATTGTATAGATTTGTTTGATATTTCAATTTGACTGTATACTTTTCAAGGGACTTTGGCTTTTTTAATGTAGAGAAGCTATCCAGCTCGCTTACGGAAGACCGGAAGTTCAACTCGGGTGCCCCTTCGTGCCTAAAATAATACACACCTAAGGCCTGCCTATACAAGAGAAGTTAGAAGCCATACTGTCAACTGTGTCGACCTTTCTTTAAAATCAAAACACTATTCATATAAATAACTAAATGAAAATCAATATCCTTTATTAACTATATAATGTGCATCTACGTATGCAAATACTGTAAACTATATTTGTCTTTTTAGCAAAGAAATTTAAATCATCATCAAAGCTCATATTTCCTTAAACACATGAAGCTTACTGATGTACCATAACTAGACGGAAAATCGCTTGATTGTATGTGTGTACACTTTCCGGCAAATGTAATTCTAAATCTATATTTCCTTGCAGCACATGTCATGTTCGCAATAATAACCCTTATGCTTGCTTTTAACATTTTCATTAACTACACGGTAATAATCTCTCTAATAAATACAGTATGCAGATAGATCGAGATAACAACTAATGTGTATCTTAAAAATAGATAATGGTACACACATTTAAACATATAGAGTAATTGAATAAATCAAAAGATTGGCATAACTTCTCTGAATAGGAAAGAAAACAACCATTTATACAAAAAAATACATTGAAGCGGCTATAGTAGTATACAGTATGTAGTATAGTAGTATGAAAATACTAATTTACCTTTTAACGATATGGCGGACTGTAATCCTGTCCATTGTTTTGCCGTGACCTTTGTTGGCTCAACATCAAACTCATGTTTGAACGAAAATCCCCAACTTGAAAAAGTTGTTCCAAAGTCGATTGCTGCTACCACTAAATGAGAAGACATTGGCATATCAAGTTTGTTGAGTTCTTACATAACTATAAAACAAATTGATCTGTATGTGTCGTTTTGTTAATGAATTTTACCGTACTTTCGGTTTTGACCATTTTTGGAAAACGGTGATTTGGTTGTAACGTCAGCTGCTAAATATAAGTTGAAAGAGTACCAGCTGTCGTCATGGTGAGAAATAGAAATAGTTGATAAACACAAACGAAAATTGAAAAATAATTGGGTGTACAGTGTTTTGTTTTAATTTTAATTCTTTTTATTTGACTGTATTGTCTTTACAACTTACCAAAATATACTTTATAGAGAAGTTTCTTTTAGGAGATATTAGAATGGCCATTCGAATTTTCCGGTTCCATATTTAATTTAACTTCACTTTTTTTCTGGTTCTATTAGCAAGCCTTTTTATTTCTTTTTTGATACATACTTGATGATTTTTGTAACTTTTTTATCTATTAAGCGGGAGGGTTTACCGGTGTTTGATTAAATGTTTTTTAATTGGAAAGTTAGTTAATGCAAGCTCGGATCCAGATGTGGGTTTAGCGGGTTATGAGCATTTTATAAATGCTTTGTTTGTAAATTAAGGATATTGAATGATTGTAAAGTTGATACTGAATTTAATGCACGAGTTCAATGAAACAATATTGTGCTCGCCAGAGGCTCACATAATATTATTTCAATCAACGAGTTCAGTAAAATTAGAAATAAACTTGCATGAATTCAATCTTCTGTTTATCACATACCAAAAACGTTTGAACTGAAAAAGAAACATTTTATCTATTTATTGACGCGCTTAAAGTCTTACATTTAGTACGTCTTAACCCTTGTTTATATTATTATTTATAAAGATTTTTGACATGGCCCTATATAAACGGTTGTTTGGAAATATAACCCTAACCGCTAGGTCCCGATTATTCGAGGTCCCAAGAGAATCTTTTCATAAATAATGAGGGGAACCACTAGGCAATGTTAGATGCTTAATACATAACGATAGATAAATAATGCTTCTAGTTCACTTTTTGCCGTCATGGGTAAGTTTTATACCGATTTTTACTTGTTATTAAAATGTTTCACTGGAAACACCTACTGAGACTGGATCCCACATATGTGCTTCTTCTTACACGTACATAGTATAATTGTTATGCACAGTTTGACGATGAAAGTTTGGTTAAAACCGAATATACTAAAACGTCGGAATTTTATGTATAAAACTTTGGCAAACCAACTGTATTTCTGTCACATGCTGAGAAAAATGTGCAGCCTGACTTAAACACGGGACCCCCAGAACACCGTTCCGCGGCTTTACCGACTGAGCTTTCCGCCCGATTACACAGTCATTTGTTTCTCTAAATAGTGAACAGTTCTGGAAATCTCTTTGTCCCCGAACTTCTCAGGATTACAGAGATATGTGAATTAAACTCTAAGCTATATATAGTCATGGTCCCTTGTTGTGTGCCAATTGTCGCAGCTGAAACGGCACTAAGGGACTCGTTGACTCTGCTGTGAGTTAAAGGGATTTGAAGAAGACAAGAATACACTACTCAAAATATTTCTTCTCCAGTTAACCAAAACCGTGGCCTGCGACGGCAATTTCTCAATTCAAGTGTGTATGCGTTGTGCAGATTAGTGGGGAAATTGAAAAAGTAGCAAGAAAAGATGCTCAAACTATGATGTATAAATGACGTCTTTTGGATATGGGTTAAAGTGTAAGAACTACAGGTAACAATAAAGGACATAGACAATAAAACATAATTCTTCAAAGATAAACATGAACACGTACATATCGAAGACATGGAAAACTTGGCATAACATGCAACGTATTCTTGATATTTTTATTAAGGCTACTGTTATTACATGTATTGATAAAAAACTGAGTAGAAAGAAGACGGCGGTGGATAGGAAAACAGCACAAAGCGGTGGTTTTTTTATATGTCTGTTTTACAGCCTTTAACTTAACCCAACATACTTGTTACCCGACCTTTACTTGATTATGTCCATTTCTTTACTTATGTGGCAAATGACCCGTTAGTCATTTAACGTAACTTTAGAACCAGAAGTTGTCAAAAACATTTTTCTTCGTCTCTCTTAAGTTTACAACTGAATACACAATACAACCGTACATTTGTTTAAAGCTATGATCCTTATCGACGTTAAGTACTTCGGTAATTATTTCCGGTCTTCTAATTTCTATAAATTATATATGCAGGAGAGGTGTTATTCGAGGAAAACACTTTTCAAGCATCTGACATGTATTTCAAATTACGCGTAGCACAGACGTTTAGACATATATTACCCATTTCTGACCAATATTCATTTAAAATAAAGAAACAAAGCTTCAAGTCTCGTCATTATAATTATTATTATTTGTAATTTACTTCTTTATGACCTGTCAGGTTTCTTTTCATTATTATTTAGCGTGTACAGAAATATAAGCAGTTTATATGTACAAATCTGCGAGAAATGTGTGAAAAATCGGTAGCTTTACATCTTGAAATTATTATATTTCGAAATCTGTATGCTAAACCTACTTCTTTTTATGCACCGATGTCCCCCCCCCCCCAGGATTGTATTTAGATAATTGGAAAATATGTTTTTAACCCATCCTCTGTCTATTTGATCAAATATGACAGATACCTTTTTCAATAATATGCATCAATTATTTTTAGATATATTTTCTTTTGTTCACTTTTTTTATCAGTTAGTTATATATGAACCCATCCTCTGTCTATTTGATCAAATATGACAGATACCTTTTTCAATAATATGCATCAATTATTTTTAGATATATTTTCTTTTGTTCACTTTTTTTATCAGTTAGATATATATGAAATAAGCAAAACTAATCTCGAGTCAATAAGAGCATGTGTGTTGCGGTGTTGTTTTTGTTCAACAAAACTGGTTCATAAGTTTAATTTAAAGTTTCATTTCTTTTCAAACACCCATTCGTTTACCTGGGAACCATACAAATCGCACTTAAGTGTCACATTAAGGTTCCGTATGCACACATCTGCGGAAGTTTCTAATTTCAAAACTTTACCATTTCATGTTAAATGTTAAATTCATCTTGAGCCGGTGCTAGTGGATGGTATTTTGTCTCTAAGAGACATCTACGCATTATCTCCTAATGAAGAGTCAAGTCTGGCGTTTGCTACACAATTGATGCCTCTGTTCCTCAGACACCTATACGAGTATTTATGTTTCTATATATCAAATTATATGAGATGAATAATATGAGCTGACAATGAAGCTTATTTTTTAATTCGTAGGCATAATTGTGTGCATCAGTACGTGATCAGATAAATATTCCTTTCATTTATTTAAAGCTAAGTTTTATGTTCAGATTCACACACGATGTAGGCGGCAACAGCAAAATTGCACTTCTGCATTGCTGCATTGCTTCACCTGTAAAAACCACAAGCTGCAATCAGTAATTTGTATATTTGCATATATAAAACAATAAAAATTAAAAAGAAACATATTGTGAAAATATATAAAATCATTTCAGGTTTTCATTAAAGGTTTATTAAATATATATATATAATGATGTATAGCATGCCAATGTGTGTGTTATTATAAACATCTGTTGTATAACAATACCACAATAAACTATTTATTTAAAAAAAAAATTTACCGTCAATTCCAGTCTTAAATTTTGGTTTTACTTTGTGTAACAACGCCTTCTCTGGATTGTGAATTTCATTTTCGGCAATATTCTCACTTGTTTTATATTTTAAAGTTGTAAGCTATGCCCAAAGTAAAAACATTGAATGACAATTTTAAAACTCGCCGGTATTAGCTGTAGGATAGATCAATGTTAAAGTTTTGGAGGACTTAATGTATGAATAATATTACTTATTTATGATTTTAATGTCGTGATATATTGAAATGACATACCAGTCGTAAGTTTAAACTTATCATATAGTCTCGCTTTGTCAATACATTTTGCTATACGACCAGCTTCTACACAACGCTTCAAATTTGAAGAAGAAACCTATTGAAATTTTACATCGTAAAAACACTTTCTTGGTCAGTTGCAACTTAAGTTAGGAAATGATCGTTATAAACTAAAGGTCGGGTGCAAAATATGCTGTTAAGTTAAACGCCATGGAATGAGATCCCCCACGTTGCGTTGGTATCTTAGCCACCATCGCCTCATAATCAGTTTTGACAATGATTTATATGTATGCAAAACAATACCCGAAATAATAAAAATATTGTTAGTTTGTCAAAATGTCCATGTATACATACGATGCAATGCCAACGGTATATTTGGTCGCTTTGTACAAAATTGTTACGTTTGTGTACGGAGCTAAAAAAAGTACACATGTAGTATCCAGTCTCACCAGTTGTTTTGAGTAAAACGTAAAATTGTTCTTAAACTTACCTGTGACAGCAAGTTGAACTCGAAGACTTATTTATTCATCGTTTCTGCGTGAAGGCTGCATCGCCAGAGCGATGGACCCATCGCTACTGCGAAAGTTATAGCCAGTGTGTGTGTTATTGCTACTGATAAAAAAGATATTGCCGACATAAGTCCCTGATGTTTAAGTGACTTAGTAAGTGGATCACCTTTTTATCCCAGTTATGCAGATTTAATAATCTGCAGATAGGCTAGAAGATATATCAATCCGAAAGTAAAAATTATGTCGAAGAATAATTTTATCAGTTTTACAAAATTAATCATCCGATGTACTGTACTCTATCAATGTCTAGAAAACAAACAACAGAAACAAAAGATACAATCAAAGAAAAAATAACAACAGAAATAGCATAGTCCTTTTAAAACTAATTTCAAACTAATATACCTAACACAAGATCTTCATACAAGTTTCCACTACTTAAGTGTTGAAAGTTGAGTACCGCTCAAGCCGGTGCTAATGGGAGTGAGAGATGCTGCACCTTTTCATTATCCCTCGTGTACAGACACAAACTTATTCTGCGATTTTTGTGTTTAATTGTTTGATTCAAGCTTTAGAGATATCACCAAGAGTTATTATATTAACAAGAACATGAAATATTATCTAACTTATTTAATCTAGAATGAAACACGACATTAATACTTCTAGACAATCGTGAAAACCTGCAAAGAAGACCACGACAAAGCTATTCAGTTCATTGGGCGTTGTATTCGTTCTAAGGATTTTTATTTTTGGCTACTAATGAGCTGTCAAAGAATCCCTTCAAACTATTAATTAAAAGCAATATGGAAATGCTATGGTTTTGAAAGTTTTGAATTTGAAAGGATGTTACCTAGTCCTCAAATTTTATTTTATCTTCGTTTGAATAAAAATGCAAATGTAACACATGTCTATTTAACTTACAATTTTGTCATACAGCTGCATCATTGTCAAATCCCCATCATGCACAGCATACAAATATCATGGGAGCGTTTACAAATTGCATGAAAGAACAAAAGGAGAATCAAACGCCTAATTTGCAAAGATGTTTCGTTGAAGCAACAGGTCTGTGTAAGAAGGCGCCGTTGAGGATTATAAAATTTATACGTTTAAAGATGAAAGATGCAGCAAAGTTGTTATTATTATATCCCAATTTGAAAATAATTCATTTAGTAAGAGATCCTAGAGGTATAATGAACTCTAGATTCAAAATTCATATGGCGTCAGAGGATAAAATAAAATCTCAAGCAGACAGACATTGTACAACAGTTTATGAAAATCTGAAAATTTCAAAAGAAATAACATCTGAATTTCCAGGCAGACTAAAAATCATTCTCTACGAGGATTTGGCTGAAAGACCTCTGGAAACTGCTCAGGCTATGTTTAGATTTTCAGCAATACCATTTAGTGACTATATACGAACATCCATCGAAGGGCAAACGAGCGCTCAACGAAATTCGGGAAAATACACGACTCTTAGAAGAAATTCAACTGTCACTGCAAATACATGGAGAAAGCAAATAAGATTTAAAGTTCAAAAAATTGTATATAATTCATGTTTGAAAAGCAATAAAATTCTTGGGTACCTTCCGCTATCATCTGAAAAAGACTTAAGAAACTTAACTGTTGCGTCTAGAAAGAAACTCGATGTCAACACTGAACTTTTGAAAAGTAAAATCAAGTATTCCTCTTAATCGTGAATAAGTTGATTAACGAAAAATATATTTCGGATAGTTGTCTTTCATTGTCATATATCGTGTTGGAGTCGAGGGAAATGAAGTGTTATAAGAATAACAAGACACTGGCTGTTCAAAAGTCCCAAATTAAAAATTTTGCCGGTTTAAATTAATTCCTTTTTTTAAAAGGGCCCTTTCAGGGAAAAACTTTTAAATTTGAAAATTGTGTGAACGTTTTCCCCGACTTTAAAATTTTCCCATTTTTGGGGTACCCCTTATTGCTCTTTTTTGAAAATTTGATTTTTAAGACTGTGATAAAAAAAGGGTAAAAAAAAAACTATAACCCGTTTTTTAAAAGAATTTTAAATTTGGAAGGGGCGAAAAGACCTTTAGTGAAGGTTTCGCATTTTCTGTAAGATGAATACAATTTATGAGCAGTATTATTTTATTTATTTCAAGTTTGATCTCTCGTATATCAATTTAAATTTATTTTCTTTCCTTTTCTTACGGACAGTGTGTAATTCTATATTTCAGTACTTGTAATTTTTTTGTTTTTCCTATCTATTTAAATAGTTCTTAGCACATGTATATTTATTATTAAAAGTTTTTTTTTTAAAGCATTCAATGTTTTAAGTATTTTATTCTATCGATCAGAACAATTTTTGTAAACTGAATAAGCTTTTATCGTAGAACCCAATGTTAACATTAGTTAAATATTGTCTCATATTTCACTCTAGAACTTAAAAAAATTATATTACCTATACGAGTCTCATGATGTTTATCCGCAGTTGTGATCAACATTCTTTTATTCTTGTATTTCTTGCATAAACATACCGTTAATCAAACTTTATCATATTCTCCAATCAACAAAGCATTTTTTGTGCACGAAAAGGTCTACATAACTCTTCGTCAATTTTGGGGAAAATTTAAAAAAACATTTTTTAAAAACCAGAAAAAAATTTTAATTTGGGGTTTTGGGTCAATTTTAAATTTATAAAATTTATTTAACCCCTTTTGGGGGGTGTTTAAAATGGTGAAATTTTTTGATTTTTAATAAAAAATTTACAGCCATAAAAATAGTTGTAAAAATTTTATTAAAATTTATTGGGGTTTTTTTTAAAAAAAAATTTTTTTAGTATTTTAAAAAAGAAAAGGGTTACCCCCATGAACATTTAGAGGTATTTAAAATGTTTTTGGTTTTTTTAACAATCTAATATATATTATATAAAACCTTTTGGATAGATTTATGATGTCTGTGGTACTTTTAACGTGGGGAATTGGGGGTTGTTCTACGGGTTTTCCCAATTTTTCTAAATTCTTTCATTTGGTTTTTTTTTTTTATCTTTTGGGCATTAAAAAAATTTGAAATGTCCCACAATTCGTAAATACATGTAAGAATTTAATCTAGTAAAAGTGTTGTATATGTTTTTCACGATGAGAAAACTGTTACCATGGCAACGCTTAGATGATGTTTTACAATGTTGGACATAATGCTCTAATACATATATACACCTGGAAATAAGTTAAGCACACCTCGGAAATAAAAAAAATTGTTGTGACTGAAAGCATTGTCATGAGATGACGACTTAATTAAGCTAAGAAAAATTATTGGTAATTTGTTTAGTACAAATTTGAGAATTATTAACCAGTAAAATTTATGAGTTTGGTTTATTCTTAACAAAAATTATTGAAGCATAACAAATGGGTTTTGATTTTTACCAAAGAATATAAATGTTTATAAGGTGTTGGAGTGTGTTACAAAACATTTACTGGTGAATATTTTTTGGTAAATGTTGACGATTACGTAACTTTAAATATTCTGCTTTCCCCTGAGACAAATCATTATTGTTTGATTGGTGACATCAAACGTCCCGTGCCTGAAATAATGGAGTACCCGAGGTATTTCTTTCATCACAAAACAAAAGTGAATATGAAATGAAATTCCAAATGTAATCAATATTTTAACTCATGTAAAAATAAAATAAGGATTTGTAAAGGTTGCTTCCCTTGTATTACAAATTATGTATTTAAATACTTTTTGTATGTAGGATATCAAAGTACCGTTGCATAGTATATTACGTTTGCAATCGTAACATAGAAGGGAAATCAAACTACTGATAATGTTGTGATTTCTTGATGGCTATAGATATGTAGAATACAGTAGAGTACAAAAACGTTATCAAAAAAACTTTGTTTCTTGTAAATGTCACAGCGCAGTCGCTATTTTAAACAATATTTTAGTCTTTATAAAGGATTGTTTTTTTGTTGTTTTTTTTATTCTTGTTGTTTTAATCGATTTGCTCTTTTTGTAACCACAAACTCAATATCATTATTATTTTATTGTTGTTTGTTTTTGTTTGTTTTTTGTTATTATGTTGAATGTTTATTTTTGTGTTGTTGTGTTGTTGTTGTTTCTCTTTGTTTTGTTTGCTGTTTGTTGTGGTTATTTATTTGTTTGTTTTGTTCCTGTTTGTTTTTCTTTCTCTCTTTTTGGAGTATAAACTTCATACCAATGAAAATACTCCGAACAAAAATAAAGTAGAGCAATCTGGTTATGATGCATTGATTAAACAGTTATAACAAATTGAATTTGATCACATTTAAACGCTCAATACAAAATAATATTAATTTCGACTAAAACTAGTTGCGGCAAGACTTCGTGTCTAATTAATGCATGAAATCTAAAATGTTACACCAAAACAAAAACACTATCAAATAATATTGATTATATAAAGTATAATATTTCAGGATCGAGCTTAGTTTTTACTTAAACATTATTTAATCAATAATATACGTGCAAAGGTACATGTTTGCATACTGTTTATTATTCAACCGTCAATTTCAACGATTTTAAAAGTAAGTTATTCAAGAATTACGTTCCATCATGCAATGATAAAGTAACTTTTTGATCATTTATTGATCATTCATTTGATCATTTATACACAAAACTTCCAGTTTTCAAAGTATGCATCAGTTGATATATATTTATAATCATTTGTTATTCATGTGTACGGTGTATCGTTAGGAGCAACATATTTTGTCTACGACAGTACAACGGCAAAATGCGACAGTACAATAGTAACAATACGACAGAGCGGTGTCTGTGGCGCCGTAATATGTCGCAACGCCGCTAAATGTCCCGCTAGTGCCGATAAATGTCGCAACCGCCGCTAAATGTCGCTAAATCTTTTGCCATTAAATGTCGCAATGGTAACGTTAGATGTCGGTCATTAAATGTAGCATAACTGCTGTTTAGTGTCTCAAGATGTATAATCATGATAAAATAAAGTTAGCTTGTGGTATTGAATTACATTACTACCTATGTTACTATATATAATAACAAAAGTTAGGGTATTTTAAGGTCACTATGCCAAGATTTAGGTCATTATTCAATTTTTGCCGCATTGTTACCCGGCAATATTTTTTGCAAAAGGAGGAAATCAGCCCTCAGTTACTTTTAACCTACAGGAATTTTGCCTAAGCACGAATTTAATTTTCATACTCGACTTATCCTACTTGTAACAGAAAATGTAATGTGATGGGCTGCAAGAAAAAATAGTTAAAACATGAGATGCCAACAATTCTGACGTTGGTAAGACTGTATATATTTGCAAGTGCTGAATTTGTAAAATACACTTTTCAAGGTTCAATGTTTTAGAACTGTCTCAATCAGATAATATCAATATAGTTATTTCTAAAGTTAGTCAGCCATAACTTCAGAGCCGGTTCAATCACTTACATACCGTAATTGACATAATATCAGTTGTTTAACATGAATTTAGTAACTGCGACATTAAAGGTATTATTGAGACATTTAACGGTACGGGAAAATGGTGCGATATTTAACGTCAAAATTGCGACATTTAACGGCAAAATATCTTCAAACATATAGCGGCTGTTGCGACATTTAGCGGCAAGTCCGACATTTAGCGGCGAGTGCAACATATGACAGTGCCAAAGTGCATCAAAGAAACTCTTTTTTAATGACACACAGTAAACGTAAACGTTCAGGGAAAATGGTGCGACATTAATGTCATCATTGCGACATATAACGGCAAAATATTTTGAGACATTAGCGACGGTTGCAACATCTAGCGGTAATTACGCGACATGTAGCGTCAAGTGCGAGATTTAACATCTATGCGACATATAACGGCGCGTCACATGGTGTGATATGTACGATGATGTGGAGTACGAAAGTACGGCAGATTTCAAGTATTTTCAGAAAATGTAGACAAGTACGCACAAGTCATTTAGACTTAACATGAATTGAGTGAAAAACTTTGATAACAAGTGCGCACACGTCATCTATAGCTAGAGTTTACCTTACAATAAATTTTCGTTTATCTGACACATGGCATTTTGCAATGCTCTCTTTTCACCACATTTCAGCCGATGTATAAGCTGTTTAGAAAGATAACGTGGTGTTTGGGAAAATTACAAGAACGTGTAGACACATCTGACATTGAAAATAAAAACGTTGATAAGTACCACATCTTATAACTAATGGTACAATTTACACAACAGAAGTCACAAATATTTCACGACGAATAACTTACATATTTAGAACACCTCGACTATTATTCATAATTCTAAGTACTATAATTCGAAATATTAAACAAGAGGGCCACGATGGCCCTGAGGTCGCTCACCTGTATATAGGCCCCCGGTGCGGGGCCAGTTTAAATCCCAGGGCTTTTATTTGAACAAACTTGGAAGAAACCAATAAGAAGATGTTTCATGACGTTAAGTTTATACTACCCACATATAATGAAAAAAAAAGATCTCCCCCCTCCCCGGCAGGGCCAATTTTAATCCAAGGGCTTTTATTTGAACAAACTTGGTAGACACTCATAAGAAGATGTTTCATGCAAAACATCTAAGCTCTAGCTCATTGGGTTTTTTGAAAGAAGATTTTTTAAGTTTTAACTGTACACATATAGATAAAATATGACACCCCTGGGGCGGGGCCAGTTTTGACCCCAGGGCTTTAATTTGAACAAACTTTGTAGACACTCACTAGAAGATGTTTCATGTTAAATATCTAAACTCTAGCTATTTGGTTTTTTTAAAGAAGATTTTTAAGTTTTTGCTATACACATATAAGGAAAGTCAA